TACGGCGAAAAATCAGCAGGGGTGAAAGCGAGACGGAAAAGAGGAAAGGCTGGTAGTTTTGGGGAGGAGTTTACTTATTCTTTTTTAAAGTTTTTCAACAATATCTACTTTATCTTGGAAAAGAAGCAGTTTTATGCCAGAATTATAAAAGAAATCTTGATAGTTACAAAAAAAAAAAAATGCTGGAATGAAGTGTTTTACGTAACAGGTTTTTCTCTTTTCCGTCTTGCTATATAAGGTCTTTCACCCATGGACTGAGACAGCTTCACCTTTCAGTTGCGCTTCGGCGATTTATTATTTATTTCCATTCAGATGAATTAGTTAGAGACCCCAGCGGGGCTGATGCTAAGATGAGTATGAGTATGAGATTGGGACAGCACATGTCCCGTCCGGTGCGAAAGGGTTAAACTTAATGTCTTTAACCTATTATGTGCCAACTTTCTTATTTTGAGAACAATTTTCATCTCGCAAAAAGATAGAAAATTATTTCTTTAGTATTTCATTTTTTCAAACTTAAGTAGTTTTTCGTTCGCCAAAATATTCGAATGCAATTTCTTAAGGTAAAAAAGCAGATAAAGATTCTGATTAGTTTAAACAAAATTTTATTAAAAACAGTTTTCTTCAAGTTCATGTGCAACGCCATTTTATTCCAGCTCTCTCGTAATAACGTAAGGTCAAATAATGGGCAAAATTACCACGAATTCTAAAAAGCTGTGGTTTTTAATTGTTTACCTCTCTATAAAATATTTTGTATAGTGTAGTAGTAGGCTGCCGTGTAATACTGCCTAATTGATTTTTGTCAATTTCACATGGTTTAATCGCCTATGTTCCACGCTTGCCAATTTGTTTTGAAAGACTGGTATCTCATTTATTTCATTGGTTCCTTATCTTGAATTAGCAAGAAATACGTATCTACCAATATATTTTAATCATACTTAATTATAAATTTGGTTCTGAAATCGTTTTATTATTAAATTTTAAATGGTTAATGATTTAAGGTTTAACAAGTTTTATGATTAACCCTTTCGCGCCGACTGTCACAAATACGTGCCAGCATAAAACCGTATCAACCAGGGTGAAAAGATAAAACTGGTAATCAAAGTAATTCTTTAGCACTTTATTTGAGGGCGGAGATATCATTGTTTTATTTATTTCATTCATCATTAATTTGTTCAAAATAAAACTATTTAGTTATACTTTGAATTAACATTGTTTATATATATGATTAAACNATGATTAACCCTTTCGCGCCGACTGTCACAAATACGTGCCAGCATAAAATCGTATCAACCAGGGTAAAAAGATAAAACTGGTAATCAAAGTAATTCTTTAGCAGTTTATTTGTGGGCGGAGTTATAATTGTTTTATTTATTTAATTCACCATTAATTTGTTCAAAATAAATCTAGTTATACTTTAAATTAACATTGTTTATATATATGATTAAACTAACAATAATTAAAGTAAAAGCAAAGTAAGTCTATCGAATTAGAAACGACTACATATAAGTTACCGTTTTTTATTTAATTACGTCCTGATTCTGACTTTGTACGAATGCTTTTCTGAATCCCCCGTCCCCAAGGGGTTAAAGTATAATTTTAGAATTCGGTTTAAATCAACCTGCATATAAGTTGGAGGGTATTTAAATTTTCTTACATATAATTTTGAAAAAATTCTAATTATTAATTTTATTAAGTCTACTATTGTTTTCCAATTTATACACAAAGTAAGAATTTAATTTAAATTTAAAAAATTTAAATTTTTATTTGAAAAAAATCAGGGCAAGATAACTTTTATTGTTTAAAATATACTTTATACATAAAAATTCGACAAGCAAAGATATCCTTCCATAGCAGTAATATTTTTTATTCTACTTTATCTAAAAAGGTCAAATTTATCGAAGAAATTCTAAGATTTGAAATTACTTAAAGACAACCACTTTAAAGCTGAAGTATCAGCGCGTTTTTTTAAAAGCAAATAGCAGTTAAAGTGCAGCTATCAGCATTCAATTTTACCATCGTACCCGGAAATTGGACAGAATCCAATAAACGTTCCCAAGAAAAATAATTTTTTCGCCTTTTTGTTGGTTTTTAAGTTTTTACGATTAAATGTACTTACAGGCGCGAATTGATTTTTCGATGTTCAAGAAATAAATAAAAACGATTAGAGTATTTTCTGTTTAAGATTTTTTTTTAAATGCTGAAATAAGAAAGACTATTAAATGTATTTCTGTTGCGAGAGACAGTCATAAACGAATTCAAGGTTAAGAACTTAATAAGCTGAAGACTTTAATTTTTTGTAAATGTTTTGTAAACTTACTTTTAATTACCTTCGATGATATGGAGATGAACAGTATTTCATTGGTCACGCAAAGTTGTATGGGTAATCGGTTAATGCGAAATTACTTTGCATTTCTACTATTAAATTATCATTAACAATAATTCTAGAGTAAGAAAGAATACATATAATTTATTTGTTGTTGTTTTTGTTTCTAATGACACTCGGACGAACCAAGATTGCCCGCCATTGGCTTTTAGCGAATTCAGCCCGGAAGGCGAGCCTTACGTTTGATAAGAACACCGAAAGTGTGAAAGCACATCTTAGCTCAGAATTCCACGGATAGATGGCAGCACCACTTCTTCAATTTAGACACAGATCTGAAGGGGAAGGAGATTTTTTCCAGATCCCAGCACTCATGGTACTGCTCACCGACTGACTACAAGCCTTTTGATTCCACAGATTCTATGAGCACGTACTCAGTGGGTCGTGGTGGAGTCGAACTGGACCTCCAGACCGAAGTTCGATTCTCTAACCCTTGAGCTACCAAGACCTTATTATTGATTTCGCAACAACAACTGGAATCCATCCATCTAGTGTAGTATTACGACACATCTGTGCTAGTTTGTGATTGGTTGGGAGCCGGAATTATCCGAAAAGAAATTAAGCAAAAATTTATGTGTGGTGATCATTGATCGAAAATGTATTTTTAACTAGTGAAATTTTAAATTATGCAGGTATATATCCTTTTTTTGTGCTTTAAAAATTAATCCTAACCATTCAAAATATCTACATGAGTTCGTATGATCTGTAAAAAATAAATGAGTGGTAGCTAAGATTTTTCAAAACTGCTGAAAAATGTTTAAATTTATCTTTTATTTGTTAATTACGAAATTGTTCCAAAGCTACTTTTTTTGCTTCCATATATATTTCCTTTAAATTAAATATTCACTCATAGCATCAAACATCTAGATTTATCTTACTTTCACTATCACTTTAAAAAAATTTCAGACGGTGAGGACCCTGTTTCAAAAACGATGTCAAAGAACGATATCTTTTTAGAAAAAAATTATCTTTGAAAACTATAATAACTATACTTTGTGCTCTTTATGAAGTTATTTATGCCATTATATGTTAAGAAGCTATTTGTAATGAAAATATTTACAAATAAACTAAAAAAATTCAAATTTTTATGTTTAACGAGATATTATTGCAAGTTAATTAATAATTTACGCAACTTAGTTTGTCGTGCCTTTAGACTAGTAAATAAATGAAATAAAACGTAGCTCGATATAGTTAACATAATTTAGACGTGGAAAACGGAAACGAAATTTGAGAGAAGCTTTGCAAGTGTGGTGACTGGCTCCGATATCAGACACTTTTGAAGTCATTTGTCGTACCTCTTTAACTACGTTTATAGGTATTATAAAAGTGATATCGTACACTCTTAAGCTATGTTAACAGTCATAAATCATGCAATGAGTAAAACATATCATGGAAGTTTTTCAAAACATTAATGTTACTTACTTGTTGTAAGTACTTAAATAACAAAACTAGCCTCGATTGTTATTTCCCGATATAATAAAGGTGGTTATGCATGTGTTGCTTGACCAATAAAAAAATAATAAAAATATCCAGCGGTAGTTTTTTTTTTTTTTTTGATGAAAGAGAAGGTTAGTCAGACAACAACGAAATTTTAATCTCTATTCCGTTTACGAGTGTGTTAGGCAAGAGTCGTGAGTTCTTTATAAGTCATCGAGCCATTGTCGGGATTTGAACCTATGTCGTCAATATCGGAAGTGAGCGTTCTGTACACTAACACATTTTTTTCAGTTAAACCCCTGACCGTCACCCATGTGGAGAGTAGTCATGTCATTTTGACATGTAGTCTTTTCTGAATTGAAATATTATTTTTCCATGTTTTCGGTGTTCAATGCTTTCAGTGCTCAACTCTGTCTCTTTGCAATTTCGAATCAAACCTAGAAGACACTGAAATTCATAGAACAAGCATTAGGGCAAAAACGCCTTTGTGGAGGACTTTTTGCTGGGATTAAGGTGAGGATAACTACAAAAATCTCTTATGGTTAGGAAAGATTTTCGGGCACTAGGGATTTTAAAACATGATCTGTCTTCCACAAGGGACATTTTATGTTATCACTGCGGTCTTTGAGATCTGGGAGCCATTATCAGGATTCAAACCTGGGTAGACTTACTAGGAGGCGACCCAAGTTAGCCTTTGGAAGCAGGGATGATTCAGAGAATGCTCTATCCTCTAAGTTCTTCCTGCTTCCAAAGGTTTAATTTAATTAATTTTATATCCGTCGTTGAACAGCCGACCCAATTTTTGGGTTTACGACTACTATTGTTCAACTCCATAGCCTTGTAATTTTGAACCAATCCAGAAGACAAGGAAACTCCTGGATCAGTACCTCCAGAGGTTTTGATTTGTTATGGGAACATGGAGGACTTTGCGACCAAAGGTTCAATTGATTTTTTTTACCATTTTTATTTGTTTATTTGCTCATTTCTTTTGTTGGACGCTATATATAGTTGTAATTTCGTTTTCTTTCACGCCGTCACATAATTTAAGATACAAGTAAGTGTAAATATTTATTGCTTGCATGATGAATTTAGTCAGAGGGAAAAAAAGCGAGAAAAACTTTACATTAAAAGTTTTTAAAACTAAATACGAGTTTAACATGCGTATAATAATTTTAATACTTACTCTAACAATCAGTCCCTCGACGTCATGATCGTACCGTAGGGTGAACATTAATTTACCACAACTGGCTCCTTGCTCACTACCGTCCCCAAGAAGTTCTGCTCCGCTATCTGCAGACCATTGCCTCATCATGTCCGGCTGATATAGCTCCGGTCTAATACGTCCGATGGCCTGGCTGTCTCTCTGGGCAATATTACATACTGTAACAGAAGCATAAATTTGTAGATGCAGAGACATACAGGGTTGAGTACTATAAAATATTTCAAATTTGTTTATTAAATATCGTATCGTTAATGCTATAAAGTGCTGAATAGTGCAGCGCAACTATATATTGAATAAGTTACGTTTAATACTACCGTGATGAATACAATGTTATCTTCCTAAATCGATCATGAACTACTATTGCAATGCATTAAGTATTGCATGAGGATCATGTTCATAGGATATATATTTATGTAATGACGTTTTAACCTTTTACATATCCCTTGCTCGCCAACTCTGTAGTAGGTTTTGTAGAGGGTTTTGTTTTTAAATTTAATGTCGTTGCAAAGGTTTTATATTCATGCTTGATTATTTAAATATATTTGATTTAAAATGATTTTGACTAAGTACATTAAGCATACATTAACCAGCTAATTATTTTGTTGCTTTTTTAGTGTTGTCTAAATATCAATAAGATACCTGTTTACAATGCCACTATAACTTTTATTGGTATCTCACTACCACTAAAGAAACACTTCTTTGACGAGCATAAAAGTAGGCGGGTATGACATCAAAAGTCACCACTTTAAAATTTCTGTATTTTATCATTTTGCTACTACATTATTTTAGAGTTATTAGCTGTTATATAGCAATATTGCATTACATATTTTAAAAAAAATGAGTGCTTACAGGAGACTTGTGATTGCTTCGCTAATTCTTGAATTCACGTGATAGTTCTTTTCAAAGGCAAAACACGGTTCACTTTCAAATACCGATCGGTTTCTTTCGATTTGTTTTCATTTTTAACATAAATTAGATCCCTGACTCTCAAAAATAAGTTCACACATATGGAAACAATGCCCTGATAACTTTTTCTGCTTATCGTGAATAAGAATTTGCATGTGAAGGACCAAAATTCTGAAACTGATTTCTCTTCAAATATGTGCATACTGCTTGAGGATATTTCTTTATTCCAAGAAATACATGTTACTTTAAAAATTTTTTTTTAATCAAACTAGAAGGATTCCGAAGTCTATGTACTATCTCATCAAACAGCTCAGGAAAATAACACACAAATNATATATATATATATATATATACTCTCGGTATCTTGAAAACCTTGTTGTGACGAAATTTTTTCGGAATAGAAAATGATTTTTTTTCTCGGAAAAATCACATTGTAAGTAAATTTATTGTAAACCAGTTTTTTGTCTATTTAATCCGTAATTATTTTTGTCTTATTTTTAAAGATAGAATTATCAATGTTGTAGTTAGACTTACAGTCAACTGTCATTACATGCATATTTATTGGCAGTTATTCTTGTGTTTCATGACTCTACTTTTTAGAGTAAAATTTTAGAGCATATTTTTCTACTTTTTAGAACATATTTAGTTCTGAACTTGATATGTTTGAGTTGCTGTATGTAGTGGTTGTTTATATCTTCGGGTCTGGTGGTTGTTATTATTAGTTAATTATATTAAATTATATTAAGTTGTTTTCATCTACAAAATAATTCATTTCTTAAACTTGATGTGATAATCTGCATAAAATGTTAATTTAATTCTTACTGTAGCCCTAATATAATTTGTTTTCTTGCATTGAAAAATAATGCATTAATCTGAACAACGGATTGCACAGGGGAACATTTTTTTTCTGTTGTAAGAGATTAATTACCAAATCTTAGATACATTTGTATCGCTGCAAATCGGTTTATTTTTCCAAGCTACGTTTTTTTAACCCTTTGGCAGGGCTGAAAGTCCATATACAGTAAGACGGAAATGAGTTAAAACTGGTAACAAATAAATTTCTTTTTTGGCTTTTTTTTTCGGGAATAATATAGTATTCATAACTACCAAATTTTTTTAACAGAAAAAATTTAAATATTGAACTGCTTCTTCCCCGAGAAAAAAATAATAGCAGTGAATTATCTATTGATTTACTCCTCCCGAAAATTATCTGTTATTGAAGTAGTTTTACTACCAGTATTTTGTTTTCTCCGGCTCGCTTTCAGGCCTGCCTCTTAGGGACGGGTGATTCATAAAAGCATTCGTACAAAATCAGAATGTTAATAAATAAAAAACGGTAGCTTAAATGTAGGCGTTTCTAATTTTACAGACTTACTTTGCTTTTACTTCAATTATTGCTAGTTTAATCATAAATATATAATCAATGTTAGTTCAAAGTATAACTAAATAATTTTATTTTGAACTAAAGTAATGGTGAATTAAACAAATCAAACAATTATAACACCTCCCACAAATAAACTGCTAAGAACTACTTTGGTTACCAGTTCTATGCTGGCACGTATTTGGGACAGTCGGCGCGATTGGGTTAACTAATATTCTTCACCAGTGCTCATCAGCACTATATTCAATATTAGAATGAAGAAATCCAGCAAGACGTCGTAGAAGAATTGATAAAAAATTTATTAAAATAAATTTTTTAATGAAGTGGTAGATTTAACAATATATTATTCTTAATTTTATAAAAAGTTTTATATTTGGAGTATCAGGGAAAATTTAAGAAAATCTGGAAGTCTTAGTCATCAGTTTTTAATTATTTCCAGATCATGGGAGTGCTGTATTTGACCGTATTGTGTACTCGGTTCTATACAGATTCATACAGACCTTATATGACCGTTCTTGAACAATTAACCCAATTTTGAGTTCACCATTGTTCAACCTTGTAATTTTGAACCCAGTATGAGAAAATACATTAACTATTTACTTCGAAGTCCATAACCAGCAAGAAAATAAAAAAAATTTGTTAAATATTTTTAAAAATTACTTTTTGAAGTGTCCAAGATTTCTAAAAAAGTTGTAAGGTTTCTATGATTCCCATATCACTACCCCACCTAATATCACCCCTGGGCAACTATGTATAAGCTTTCTAAAAAAAATAATAATGTAACGAAGGTGAACTTAAAATTAGTTTTCCTTACCACCCATATAATAAGATTAAATAAAGATAATCCACACACTACCACCTAACATAAAAACACTTTTTTCCTGCTGCTTTATGTTAAATGTGCGAAACAATTTATGCTCTTTTCAGCACTTTCATGGTCGTCTGTCTCATTTTATGCGTTCTCTTTTATTATTCTGCATAATTTATCGCCAAAAAATACATTTGTGGATAAGGAACACGTTATACGTGCCTAGTTTCTCTAAGATCATTTTTCGCCAAAGCTGAAGATAAATTATGTCCTTGAATTCGCAATCCTGGTCTACTCTAGATAAGGAATAGAGTTCCTAGATAGTGTTACAACGACAATGGGCAGTCGGAAGTTCAGCTCTCGGACTACAGATAAATGAGGGTTGAATTTAATATCCGCTGCTGCTTCCGTTTTTATACTGGACTGAACATAGATATTCCCTGTTCTTGTAGGAGAATAAAAGATAAATTGTAAGTCTTTTGGTGTTTAATAATAATTGTTAATTTCCGAAAGAAGAGGGGATTTTTGAATAATTTTTTTTTACCTATCGTTGACTTATAGTTGTACGTAGTTTCTAAGGAAATTACTAAGTGGATTTGAAAAATAAATTAAGCTTTTTTATTAAATAAATAATCCCCAGAAACTGTAGCTGTAAGATATTGCTTGATTAAAAACCTCATTCGCTTCAAAAATATGACAAAACAGTCGAGATGTTTCAAGAGTGCTCTAAAATAGGCGCCAATTTACTCTCTAAGGCTACTGCGGATTTTCTAGTTTTGTTTCTCACTTCTTTTTCTTCCATTTTCCGTTGGCAACTTCAAGCTGTATACTTCAAATCACTTTTGTTTCTGCTCATTCACGCCTGGCAAGTCTTGAAAATGGGCGTTTGTTTTTGAGTACTTGAAACATGTGTCGACTGTTATTTCCAATTAGTATAGTTTCGAAGAAAATGAAATTTTTAATCTAGTAACAAGCTACAATCACACCTGCCAACTTTTCAGATTTTGTGGAAGATTTTGTTTTTATATTTAATGTAGTAGCAAACTGTTTACATTCTTATTTAATAATTTCAACTGTCACTAAATTTAATAATTAAAGCATACATAAAGATGATCTACTAGATATTTTATAGTCTTTTAAGGGAGAAAAGTGTTTATATATATATACAGGGTTATTCATAATTCCCTCCGCCTGTAAACGCCATTTTTCTTTACTATAACAAGCTTCAGTGGTACATGTTACTGCCATCTACCGGCAACTGCTTAAATTAAAACTTGAATACTTTCGGAATAATTTCTAATGTTCTTTTTTGCCATATTCGTCTTCGTTTTTTTACAATAACGCTTCGAACCCCGGAGGAATTATGAATAACCCTGTATATCTTTGTAACGAACAGCAATTTCCTATAGCTCAGTTTAAACAATATTAAAAAAAATACTATTCGAACGTAAACTAATTATACATTAATACATTCTATACGTTTCGATTAATTCGTTTTCGTGTATGTAACCATAGAAACTTGATACCAAAATTCGTTCACTTTTAAACTAAGGAACACTCCAATAATTACAAGGCCTCCAAGTCTTTAAACAAAAATGCAAGTAAAACCTGTTTCCTGACCAATAAGAAAAGTATGCAATATTATAAAAAAAGTAAAATTTTTCCCTATAAACTACGAACAATATTTGTACAATAAATTAATATATTAAATACGCTACTAGCATATCTTACGGCTACGCATTGATAAATAAAATTAATCGATATACATATTTTTAACTAGCTAGGGTCATCATATTTCAACTGGTGTTCTGTTTCAGATGTAAACA